TATTCTGCTATACTCATAGATGGGTGTCTAGCCCAATTGTCATTAGAGAGACTTCACAGAGCAACTGATGGAAACAGATGTAGAGACCCACAGCCAAACGTTAGGTCCTGCTTGGGGAATCCTGCTAGAGAGAGGGAGGAAGGACTGTATAAATTCCTTTTTTCACTATTATAATTAAATACCCAACAAAAGAAAGTTTGGTGAGCAAAGGTTTATCGATGCTTAAATATCAAGGGATACAGCATATTATGGCAGGAAGGGTGAGATGGCTACTCACACTACCTCCACAATTAGGAAAAAAAATGAGAATGCTGGTGGTCCATTTCCTTTGTCATTTTTATTCAGTCTGAGACACAGTCAATGAGTGCAATGGGGCTATCTACATTTCAGATGAGTCATTACCCCTAAGGGACTCAGATGGTAGGAATGTAAGCTATTTCAGCTGCTATGGAAGTCAGTGTGGAAGATTCTCAACAAGCTAGAAATAGATTCAATGTCAATGGAAACATAGTAGTATGGGAAAACACTTCATTTTATATAAAATTATCTGGCTCTGCTAACAATTACTTTGGTCCTTGACTTAGCATGCACAGTGGAACTTACTTTGACTAAAAGGTAAACATTCTTGCAAATGGTATTTCTTCAGTAACTTGGGTTTGAGATGTGCAATGGTCCCCAAATGTGTGGTGTTGTTCTAATTATTGTCTTCCAATTTGCTGATGTTATAGATGGATTTGGCTGTGAGACAGCATGATTCAGTAGCCAATGTTTGCAAAGAATGGGCATTATCACTTAATGCTCATCATAAGAACGTCCAACAAGTGTGAGCTGATGGTGGCATTCAGCCGATGAGAGATTTTTAAAAGTTACTAAGCTATTACTGAAATAATGAAAATTCCTGTTGCTTATTTCAGTTGTTTCCTCCAAGTACAAATGTGGAGAACGAAGATTGGGAGTCACTTTTGTATTTAGGCCTTTACAAGATAGTGTCATTCTCAATGAGGCATCTGGCTTCCTTATTTGGAATTCCTTTCGGTGAGCAAAGGAACTGGTAATTTGAAGAACTCACATGCTCAGCTTAGTCAGTAGGTAATAAGCCCTTTCTGGCATGCAGCACCAGCTGCCTTTTCAGAACACTTCCTGATTCTCACGGCCTTTAGATTGCTCTGTGGTCAATGCCTTTTCACTGATAGATTTTTCTACTGAAAGTTTCAAAGACTGTATGAAAATAACTACCCTGCATTCTCTCCTTTCCTTTAAACAAATAAATTCAGCTTACATTTCATATTTGAAGGTAAGACTCTCCAATTCTGGTATACATTATGACCTCAGTAGAAAAGAATACCTAACACTTTCTTTCACTAAAATGTGATGTATGATATCTGTGGAAAAATGTATCCCAACATAGGAATGTTACATCATTTTTATCCTCTTGACTCTGTTTCTAAGTCCACCCAATTGCCGATCAGTGGTCCAAAAGTATTTGGGGTTTTCATTGGTTGGACATTCACCAAAGCACCACATTATTTTCTTCCACATCAATAACAGATCATATCTTGCACCTTTTCCTCCAATCGTTGATTCATCAGTCAGGTATCATAATGTCTTAGAGAGTTCTTATGAGCTGTTCAACAATGAGGCACACCTGACAATAAATATAATAAAGACTCTTGATAATGTATTTAATATGCACAGAATTTCATCAGAGAAATCATGTAATGATATGCCCCTTGCTATGTTTGCATTATTAGAAGAAATCTCACTAGGACCGAGGTGGGAAACCCCAGTGTTGCCTGAGTTTCGTAGTTGCAGATGTCACTGAGAGCCTTACTCAGTCCAAGTGAAGGAAATTACCAAATAAGCCAGATGTATATGTTCAACGAACAGTCACACAGCAACTTGTATAGGTGCAACTAAACATGTCTTAGATTTAGGTCCAGGTCCATAAAAAAAATCTATATTTATTTCTGTAACCTGGCTGATAATACATGATTAAGAATGTTTTTGATCCATTGGGGGGACTTTGATGTTTTGAGTTAATGTGAATTACTCTCTTAAAAGACTCCCTTAAACATCAGTATTTATACTCTATATTACTCTTGTTACATGCCTAGAGTGTAGAAATGAGCACTTTAAATTATGCCATAGATATTGATTAAAACTTCCGAAGGTTAAATTTCTCAATATTGGGGATTCTTACTGTGGCTTGTGTTCTAATGTTCAAGAAAAAACCAAAACCAAAACCAAAAAAACCTGAAAAACCTAAGTCCTCCCATCAAGATCCAGTGAACATTTTAGAAGAGGTGATGGAAATACTTAAGAACTGGAGAAGAGAATACAGGTCCAGGCAATCACTGTTTTCTTATAGTATGAGAGTGCCTTCAGACTTCTTGGTTTGCAGAGATAGCTGTGGTGATTAGCAACTTAACTAGCCCCCTAGATATCACCCTGAAATTAACTAAGTAATGCTTATATGACTGCTTTAGTCATCATGCTAATGAGGTGCTAATCCTTGAGAAGGAAGAATCATGGAGTCTCCATCTAGAATTTCAGAGTTTACTTCCTCCTGTACCCAAGCAGTGTGTGGCCTTAGGCATGGTGTACTGGACTATATAGTAGGTAGGACTGCAGTGAATCAGCATTCCTGGGACAGCAGGCAAACTGTGCTGAGACTTTACAGGGATGCTGCTGCTTTCCACCCAACCATGCTTCTGTAAGTAATTCTTCCCCTAAGTTCCTCTAAGTGACTTTAAATATTGCATTCTTTTACAACATTTGTTTGGACATTTTACATTTTGCTGTCATCTTTGTGCTAAGTGAATGGGTATCTGTTCCTGGTTAACCAAGATGAATAAAACCAGGTCTCTAAGAAGTACTTTCTAATCATTGCTCTAAAATGCATGCATTCTTGGATTAAGGTTCTTAAAAGAGAATCTCTTTCCTGCAGACATGTAGAAATGTCTAGAGGTAGTTTATATTTTCTTAATTTACCTAAGGTAGAAAAGATGAATATTGCCAGCATCTAGTCATAGGAACAAAAATTGTGTTTATACAATACTCAAATGTCCAAGAGCATTCCAGAAAATGAATGATATGTCTTCTAAAATTAAAATTGCTTTCATTTATTTATTTACTGGAATAAGATTATAAGAATTGTGAACTGAATTTCTAACAAGTTCAGAAGGAAGAAAGTATTATCTTCTCATTTTTAAGTTTTTATGAGCTGCTTAACTGGAGCGCACTTAATCACAGCACCAATTATGGGGACATAATAGATAAGGCTTGCGGATGTGGATCTATACATCTTTGACAATGTAAATCTAGTAAAATACTCTTTCAAAATATGGACATTAAAGCTGGGCAGCAGTGGTGCATGCCTTTAATCCCATCCTCAGGAAGCAGAGCCAGGCAGATCTCTGTGACTTCAAGGCCAGCCTGGTCTACAGAGTGAGATCCAGGACAGGCACCAAAACAACATGAAGAAACTCTGTCTAGGAAAATTCATATATATATGTATATATATGAACATTGTACTATTATTTACTTTAGATAATATTTCTAAGTAAAATGAATCAGTAACAAGCATGTATATATTGAGACAGGGTCTCTCCACATAATTATGACTGGTCTGGCACTCGCTATGTAAACCAAGTTGACTTCAAAGTCATTGAGATCTACTTGCCTTTGTCTCCTGAATACCGATTTTAAAAGTGTGCTCTGCCATGCCTGGGTCTTATATTGATTTTTATGAAGTGAAAAGCTAAAATAATTTATAGCCTTGTACTAATCTTTAAATCCTTCAGATAACAAATGGAAAGAATTTATACCTGTATCTATTTAATACATAAATATTGATCATATATAATAATTTTTGGAAAGCACATAGATTTTTGTAAATTTACTTTCTGTATGGGAATTATCTAAAAATAATATTTATTTTGCATGTGAAGTATTGATGGTTGTCTTGAATGCTACATAGTTTTTTTTTTCAGTTATTTTGAGTACTTGAGTCTAGATGTTTTCCTTGAATAAAATTTACTAGTTCTCTAATTTTCTGTTGCACATTTCTAATTGGATTTATCTAAGGTTCTCTGGAACACAAGTGTTTTCAGACTAGTGCCACTAAAGGTAAGCATAACATTCTGGATCATGTTGGTGGGCATGTAAATTATTTTGACACATTAGGCTTTGTGTTTGTCCATTAGTAAAAGTTAAATTGGTGTTGAAACCATTTTGATCATTGTAGGAATACTAGTTTAAAGAAGGTTCATTTACAAAGAGAGAGAAGTGGATACAGTCAATATTACTAGAGCTTCTTGGAACAACTGATCAAAAGGAAAATCATTTAACCTTTTAAGTGTTTTCTTTTTATCAATAGAGGTTGGTAATATTACATAGCATCAGTCTACCCACAGAGTTATTGTAAAACCTGTAAAAACTTATGGCAAAATTCCCATATATGGAATTATTATGGTGAGTCTAAATGCAGCCTGTAGGGTCCTTCCCATGATAGGATTCTCTTCAAACTCAGTATTAAACAATTGATAATAATACACTTGTTCTTGTTAGGCATGATAATGAAGCAATGTCAGGGATGTTGACCTTGTCCTGATACAAATATTGCCTAGCAAGTACAACACAATCTTTGAGAGAGTAACCAATGAAAATCACCATAAATTCTCAAGACATTAAATCATCTACAAAGAATGATTCTAAAACATTTACCCACAATTAACTTAGGGTATAAATGTTTGAAAGTTTCAGATATCAGTCTAACATGTGGGAAATCGCTGGTTTCCCAAACTGTAGAAATGTTCAAGTTAATTATGTAATTATATTTGCACAGTGGAAGATGCTTATTTAATCTCACAGCTGTATAGTATCAAACCATGCAGTCGCAGGAACTGTGGACAAACAAAATGACTCTTGATAAGAAGGTGGAAGTACCATTGGTAACATCAGACAAATAGATCTCCACATCCTGTTTCTGTAAAGCAGGAATGCTCCTGTTGATACTGGTGTTAAATTTGCTTCTGTGTGAGAATGTTGCCCCTTTGCCTGTGAATGCCCCTGGAGCTGGACAAGGTGAAGTCTACCTCCAGGACTTGTTTGATCATGCCCTCATGCTGTCTTATAACATCAGTGAACTCAATAGGGAAATGCGCAAGATGTTTGTAAGTACCTCACTTATCTTCTTCCTGTCAATAATTATACTGCAACACATTTAAAATTATTGTAAGCCAAATTTCTAATTAAACATCTGTCTAGATTTAAAGAAATTAGCTACTGAGAAATAGAACATTGAAGAACAAGATAGTTTCGTGAAAGTTCAAAGATTTACAAAGCTTTCAGTGATTTTTGAAATTATTTCTACTTAACTATTAAAAGAGTATCAGTTTGAACCAATGAAGAACAAGTGGTGACATAACACAGATATATATATATATATATATATATGTATGGTGATATTTGGCTCAATTTCTACAGGAAGATTATTGTTAAAACACAACTGTCACATAAAATCCTAAAAGATGAAGCTGGAGAAAAACTCTGACTTCCTCATCTATTTGTACACAGCCAGTCTCTGCTGACATCTTCCCCTTGGCATTGTACATAGCCAATAGAGGAGCAGTGTATTGCGTTGAGTCCAGTGGAATTAATAGAATGAATCTAATTTCGTAGGATTCAAGAATAGGAAAAAAAATTAGCTTTTCAGAAACTCCTTAATGCCAGGAGTCACAGTTTAAAGATTTCATTGGACGAATCATTCAATGGGAGTAATGGGTTAGAAGTGAAATAGGTTCAATAATTTTGATATCTGCATGTTACCTGTTCAGTCAGTTATTGTCGGGGGTGTGACAATAGACATGTCTTCAGTACGACAATGCCCACTTAATAAATGTGACTCTGAAGTTATAATAAATATGCATTCATGTTGCTTTTCACTTACAAATTTTTCTTTCATTTCCCTTATTCTATCTCAGTTCATCAATGACTTCTCTTTGAACACATTCTTTAAATTTGTGAGTACCTCATTTATTTCCATTCCCCCTCCCTACAAAGCCTTCATGCTAATGGTTTCATTGCAATTTAAGTAAGAAAATGTCATTAACCAAATTCAAGTAATACATTTCCACAGGTAAACGATTCCACTGCCTTTATAAAGCAAACAAACATTTTTTGCAGAAGAATGGGAAAGCTTCAAGAAATCTCATTTGCTGAGATGATTATGATTTCTCATTTTTCTCTAAATCTGTGTATTTTATTTTATTTATATTTGTATCTGAGATATCAATCTGTAAGAATGTGGTGAAGGAAGAAAAATAATTTTCTGGTTTCACTGAGAAGAAGTACAATTGTTTTATAGTTAGTTATGTGTAGGAAACAGAAGCACACTGGCCTAAATCCATGTCACAGAGGGCACTAATTTTTTTTTTTGAAGTCTTATTTAAAGGTGTCCAGTGGTAACGTTCATTCAATGGGACTGCAGGCTGGCAAATGAAAATAGGCTCTGTCCTCCCAATGACTGTGTGCTATCTGCTCAAGGTCTGTCAGTGTGAAGGAGAAAAACAGATAAGGCTTGAGTACAATAACAGTCATCAAGAGACTATGTCCCCACCTTTGTAGTAAACACCTTTTCGTATCATTTTTTTATTCATGAATTTCTCATTCCTCATTCTTGATTGACATTCTTTCAAATTCTTAACATTCCTGACAATCCTTTAAGTTTTACACATTAGCTGAATATGTTTTTAGATAATGTGTAGCTTAATAATATATTTAGATAACTATAATATTTAAATGATAATATATAAAATATTATGTAATAATTAATCATTTATGAGTGTTACTGGAGGGCTTCTCTCCAGGTTCCACCAAGCCCCGCAGTCCCACAATCCACATATAAAATAATCACTCAGACGCTTATATTACTTGGAAACTGTATGGCCGTGGCAGGCTTCTTGCTAACTGTTCTTATATCTTAAATTAACCCATTTCTATAAATCTATACCTTTCCATGTGGCTGGTGGCTTGCCGGCATCTTTACATGCTGCTTGTCCTGGAGGTGGCTGCAGTGTCTCCCTCCCCTTCTTCCTGTTTCCCCAGTTGTCCTCTTTCCTTGTCCCGCCTATACTTCCTGTCTGGTCACTGGCCATCAGTGTTTTATTTATATAGAGCGATATTCACAGCAATGCGTTTTTAATTTTTCCTGCTTTATTTTCTTAAAATGGTCAGTTTGTTATGCTTACTTACTTTTGTCAAATTTGACACAATTCCAGTCAAGATTCACGATTAAGTGTGAATGGTACATGTGCATATATTCACTGGGAACAGAAAGAAAATGTGTAGTTTTAAAATGCCTAGCTAAAAGAAATATTTGGACCAACAGGAAACAAATGATTAATAAATACAGATGTGCATTTACTGCAGCATTAGACTCAAATCTAAAGGAAGACTATTCTTAAAACATGTTGTGTTTTTCAGTTTTGCCATTTCTAGGGCTTTTGATCACTATACAAAAATTTGGAATTAATGACAAAACAAAGGAAAAGTAAATAGGAATGGATGACAGATTAGAAAGTCAGATGAAAAATTAAACGAGATTACTTAGCTACAGGGAAAAATGGTTAAAGATTCATTCTCTTAAAGTAGCTGGAGGGCTTCTCTCCAGCTTTGGGTCGCCAGCCCCATGGTACCATCTGCAGGTTGTCCAGGTGATTGTCTACAGTCACAGCATTGATTTGTACCACCTGAATCCCGGTAGCCACACCTCCCCCGTGTCATTCCCACAACAGCTCAGGCAGAGGCCTGCCCGAGCCCCTTCCTCAGTTTTTGTCGAAGGCATATGTAAATATCCTAGCACCATTTTTTTTTTATCAGCATCTACTTTTATTTGAGCCTCAAAGGAGTAGATCTCCACCAGTGGTATGTCCTGTTCATCTATCAGTGTGTATTTGGTCTTCCCAGCCACCCGGCCAAGCTGCACGATGCTCAATTTAAAGTCGGTCATGGCCGGACCCACCCTCTGCTCCACTCGCTGGGGTTTCATGCAGTGTTTATTTGTAAAAAATTACACCTATAGTTAATAATATTTTGGTTACAAGTTCATTTATTCAATTTCCAAATTCTGTCTAACTCCATTTCTTTTTTAATATTTGCAGATGTTGGACTTGTACAAGAATGAGAAGACTATGTCCAAGATGTTGGATAGCTGCCACACTGTCCCCGTCAACATCCCACAAACAATAAAGGAAGCCCGAAAGTTATCAGTGAGTCCTTAATTTTCATTGAAATAGCTGAAGCTGTGCCCTGGCTTTGCCATGCTGGAACTTTTTAAAGTACTGCAATAGGTGTGGTAATCACAGGAGCACAAACAAAGAGTAAGAGTGAGTAGCAGAATAAAAATCATGATGTACAGTTGATAAATTACAGGAAAATCAATTACTAAATAATATTGTAACACATCTCCATGAAGTGGCCTTTTAGAGTATTCTAGCTCCCCAATGTTGTGTCAGTGGAAATTTACTTATTTTTCTGTAGGAAATGTTGAATGGACTAGGACACCACTATATAAATAGACATTCCTGTGTATACTTAAGATACACAAAATAATTGTCTTAATTATACATTATGTATCATTGGCACATTTTTCATTGCTGATTACCATGATAAGCCTTCTTTATTTCAAGACTGTACTGATTCTCCATCTACTTCTTATCTGTTCAGTCGTCTGTGAGTTTATACTTTCTTCTCTGTCTTAACTGAAAGCATCTGAACAAGGGGTCCAGTAAATTCAATGTGAACAAGGGGTCCAGTAAATTCAATGTAATGTTCCTCAGAAAGAAATCATGCCCTCAGTTATGATGAGAAGTTTTGCATATAACAGAGAATGTAATTTATAATTGTTATGATTGGTAGTTTGGATTCCCTAACATAACTTATCCTCAAATTAGTTGACTTGAACATCATGTGAAAATAATAAGTGAAAGTGAAGGAAGAAGAAGGGAATGAAGAAAACCTTTTCTAGAGACCTATTCAATGACTAGACATTTTAGAGTCCTTTATTGACATTCTTTCAAGTAACCCTCCTAAATGCTAACTGATAAGAGAAGCCAGAGTTCTGAAAACTTTCAAAGAATTTATAATCCCAATATATTGTCAGTATAGAGTGGAAGCTTCACATAACTCGAGCCCTCGCTCCAAATCATATAACACAATGCTTCCAGCAGCCTATTTTACTTCCTATTTGAACTGTTCCTTTCTTCTACATCTTTTATGTCTTTCTGTTGCAATATCCATTGGATTCCTTTCTACTGTTCATAGTAGCATCTACTAAAGTAACCAAGACACATAGCAAGCATTTTAAATTTAGAGATGAATTTCTTGAATGAATTTGCCAATTCAAATTTCTTGTATGAATTTGAATCTACACACTGGAGATTCAAAATTCCATTGTCATTCTATTAATGCTATTATTAAAGGCAAAGCAAGGCCATGGTTTTTCACCAGCACTTACCATCTAAAGTATCACTTATCATTGAGACTGAGAGAAGCACATTTATTAGTGTCAGGTTGTCTTCATAATATTTGTGCATTAATATGCTAAAGGGCATTAAAATAAGTATGATTTCAAACACTATACCTTACTTGTTTTATAAATCTAGTTGAATGATTTGTCATTGACAGTGATGGCATGGATCTTTCCTAAATCCAGTCCCTGGGCACATACTTCATCCCCCAAAGCCTTGCATTCTCATGACAAAGAAAAATCTAACATCTAAGAACTTAGAGGAGGTCAGATTGTAGGATTCAGATGGAAAACAAAATATAATCAATAGGAAGCTCATTTTAAAAGTAATTATTTATATAGCATAATATTTCATTTTAGCAGACTGTAGTTCTGAATGTTCTAATGTGTAAAATTCTACCCTATTTTCATATATAAAATACTCAGTGTTCGCTTTCGAATTAAATGGACATTTTACTTCAGCATCTCTGATTACAAATTAAATGTAAACAATATTTCTGTATTTCATTTCTCTTAACGTAATTGATCAATTATGGATGCATAGCTTGAAGACTTTCTGAAAATAACACTGAATCTAATGGGAACCTGGAATGACCCTTTACACTACCAAGTGGCCAAACTCACTGGTATGCCAGGAGCCAATGATGCTATCCTGTCCACAGCAAAAGATATTGCGGCCCAAAACAAACAGCTTCTAGAACTCATCAAATGGATACTCAACACGGTGAGCAGTCTTCTTAAAATCCACTTTTCTAATTCATAAAATAGATTACTTCTCAATAATACATTTTGACACACCCCACTTAGCAAGAACAAAATTTAGTCAACTAATCTTGTATGCAGCCTAGCCACTTCAGAGATTGTTTGGGCTAGGTTTTCTATTACTATGATAAAATATGACCAAAAGCAACTTGGGGAGGAAAGTGGGTTTTGTTTTTGTTTTCAATTTACACTTCCACATCACTGTCCATTATCTAAGGAAGTCAGACAGGAATTCAAGGCATGAACCTAGAGGCAGGAACTGAAGCAGAAGCCATAGAGGAACTTACAAGCTTGCTCAGCCTGTTTCTTCACACAACAAAGGATCACCTGCCCAGGAATGGCACACACCTATGCTCTAGAAATGCCCTATAGACTTACCTACAGACAATGTAATGGATGTATTTTTTCAACTGTAGTTCTTCTTCCCAGATAATTCTATTTTGTGTAAAGTTGATGGAGATGGCTCAGCAGTTAAGAGCACTGACTGCTCTTCTAGAGGACCCTGGTTCAATTCCCAACACCCATGTGACAGATTACAACTGTTTGTAACTCCAAGATCTGACTCCCTTATATAGATGTACTGGCAGGCAAAACACCAATTCACATAAAATAAAAATAAATAAATTAAAAACAACAATAGTGGCAGGAACTGACATAAAAGTTTAATGATTCCTCATAGTCATTGGGAAAGTATTTTTCCTAGGTGGAGTGAAATACACTAGATCTCGTAACAAACACCTCTAGCCCATCAGCATCCACTGGTATTGCTTTTCTGTTATTTCATCATCCTATTTTTAAAGGAAATAATTTATCTCTTATAAAATTAATATAAGAAAACATGGACATGAGTCCGGATTCTAGTTGTCAGATTACCCAGCATTAGAAATGTGAAATTCAATGTCTATAACTGAAATTTCACATTATTAATGTTTCTCTAAATATAATTCAATATTTATAAGGAAAAAAAGGACTAACAAACAAGCAGTGTAAATAACAGATGACTGACTATCATTTTGGTCTTTAGGTTCATCCGGGAATTAAAAATGAAGACTATGCTGAGTGGTCAGATCTGGAATCTTTGAAGGCATCTGATGAAAAGACTTGCCTCTCTGCTTTATTTAAATTGTCCTTCTGCTTGGGGGCTGACACAAAGAAGGTTGACCTTAATCTCAAATACCTGATATGTTCCTTTATTGGTGGCAATACCTGCTCGTCCTCAAGGTTGAAAAATGATTTCTATGACCCAGTCTTTTGAAGGTTCTTTTTAATTTTATACATTTGAAGACATACATGTATTTAGAGGGTCTCTTTAAAGAAGTAAAAATAGACATATTAAATTTACTAAAGTATAAGAAAATTTGTCATTAGCTTTTTTTTTTCATTTAGTCCTAAATGTAACAAGAACATTGAAACACTTTGATCACAAATGACAAATGTTTTATTGGAAATTTCAAGCAATTTATAACTTAGAATCATAAAAAAATAATGTTGATCAAGTTATAAAAAACAAAACATGAGATCAGAATTAAAAGGAGAGCTAAGCTACTGATAGTATGGACATGTTGGGATACCTTAAGAACAGCTGGCATGTCTTTAAGCCAAATGCCAGTGAAATGACAGAAAATACCATTTCCATGTGACTGTAGTATGGCAGCATCTAAGAACTTTTTGAACTGAAAGTAGTAGGGTTTAAACATAGGATGGTATGAGATGGAACTACCTTCAGCCATACTCTTTTAAATTATCATTTTTTTAGAACCATCATTGACACAGTCAATATGTTCTCTTCTCTCTGAGTCTATGAGTCTTTTTTGTTCTATTTCAACTTACCTTAAAATAACTACTTAATACATTTATGTTCTCTTATGGCTCAAATCAGATATCAGGAAAGGCAGAAAAGAGATGGTCAATTTCTACAATGCTGCACTAATTGCCTCTTGATATCCATTCCTTTGAATTTGTCAGAATGGGAAGGAGGCTTAAGAAAAAATAAGATTCTTTCATTACCCACTTATATGGTGATATCAAAGACTTACTGCTGACAAGATTAAATTCACTCTCAGTAGTAGTTGACTCGTTCATGGGGCACACTAGCATTTGCCTAAAACACCTACTAGAGAGTACTTCAAGTTACAATATCTTTATCAACGTAAATCCTCTACATACGTTTTTCTATCCACTCTATAGCTCAGCCATCTGTCTCACCCTCTACAATCTGTATTGTAGATCCCCTCATCTTTAAGGAACACTACCAAAAAAAAAACCAAAAGAAATCAATAAAAGTGTGCATTATACCAACTGACACAAATATCATGCAAGAGGACTTCCCCAACAGTGGAGTGATAACAGTGCTGGGTTACAGCTGACCTCTTCCTAGGGTTGCTACCAGTTCTCTCTTCCTCCAGTTCATATGGATCCAGACTAGATCAGAAAGTGAAATTTCTTAGTCTATTTTCACCAGAGATTGAGGGTTCTTATTATTCCTTTTTTTTGAAATCCATGACTAATTTTATGTAGAAAAAAATCACCTTAAACTAGGTCATGTAGACATTTGCTATGAGGTCACTGATCTCAATACACCCTCACTATAAAGCTAAAACACCTAATATTCTCTTTATGTTGTTTAGTGAACAGTACAGAATTCAGCTTGTTAGCTGTCTCTAAGAAACCTAAAATGTGAGCTTTTCAACTGAAAGATCTCCTTAAAGGGAATTGAATGGCTAGGCTGTATTTCCTATGCACGTCAGGGAGTTTCAAAGATTCCTAGATAATGAGAGACAACAACATTTTGACAGACGTGTAAATAGAAGAGTAGGATTAAAAAGCAAAACAAAAACTATATTGTGGAAAAGAAGCAAAGGAAGTAAAGACTAAAGGAAAGAAAACCAATAAAAGCCATGACAAAAAGGCTGCCATGCTGTTACAATACCAAAATACATAAAAAACTAAAACTACCCTCAATTTAAACCCTCATAACAAATTCATATCACCTTGTCTCGTCTCATATCCCACATCTTTTATTTCCTTTCTTGCTTTGTTGAATGTTTAATTTAAATTTGACTATTATTTTCTTTATCTGTTGAAATGTTAAAGCTTCAGTGTAAAACAAAACCAGACAGTTCTCCATGTCAGAGATCAAGAAAAATTTCTCCTACATAATAAAAAATAATAAATGTTGATATTTATTGTTTCAACAAACCCATATCTTCTCTCAAAGCTAGACAAATTTATCTGAACGTTGCTTTTGTTTCCAGTGTGATGGTCCTTCTTTTTCAGAACATAGCAGAACACAGCTCAATAGCCTCATCGACCCCTCTACTAGCTCTTGACTGCATGCAAAACAGTAGCTGCCCTATTATATGTCACCCTTTCCCTTCAAAGGCAGGAGAGTGTGGTGTGATCCAAATGCACACATATCTATGTTATTCATGGTCCACATCTGCTTTGCTTTACATTTAACATTTTTATGCATATTTCCAGCACACAAGATAGTGGCATGGCAGCAGTGTTTGGAAATAAGTATAAAATTTAATTTTATAAAATGTAAGTTTTAAAATTTCTGTAATAAAATTAATTTTAAGCTTCTGGCAAATCATGCAGGTGTCATGGTCAAAGGCCTCAGCTGTAGGTGTCTCAAAGAGTCAGCAAAATATGGTCCAAAAAGACACTTCAGAACAAAACAATGACTTTCTCTCTAATGAGAGTGAGTATATATTCTTCTGTAGATTTCAATGTAGTAGAACATTTGAAGAAATGTTTCTGTTGCTGCAATAATAGCAAGGGATGTCAAAGTGGAAAGAAATCAATGATAGAAATTGACTTATCTGATAAAATATGAAATTATATATCATAGGCACTATGTAGAGTAAATGAGAAGTCAACAGAACTCTTTTTCCAAGACAGTCAAATTAAATAGTGGGGGAAGGGCATAGAAATATACAAATTACTGTATTAATGTCAGACTAATGCAAACTGCTCAAAGAAGGAAAAATATAATTCAAGTCAGAGTTAGAAGACAAAATAGAAACATAAACAGAACGTGAAAAAGTTTGAGAACACCATGAAGAGAGAGACCCCTCAGTGGTCAGGGAGCTATGGGAAGAGGAAGCAGAAAGATTCTAAGAGCAGAAGGGAGGGATGACCCCGAGGAAACAGTGTCTTCCAGACACACCAGGACTGACGCACATATGAAGTCATAGAGACGATTGCAGGTGCAAAGGGCTTACACACATTCAAGCCAGACTGGCCCCAATACACAAGGGGGAAGTGGACATGAAACCCCATCATAAATAACAAGAAATTATCTCCAATTGATAAACAGTTGCAAAGAAAAATTTAGTTTTCTCTAGTGGAGTCTCACTGGGCATATTAATGACATTTAAGGATAGGCCATATGTCTAGCAGAAGATGGCTAACATGAAATGAACTCATTAGCAATTTTTGTAAACACAAAATAAACTTAGTGGGTTTTTTTAAATAGATATTTTGTCTTACATTACTTCCTTTGGGTATTTTTTACCTTACCATTCCTTTACTTCTTCTATATTATGATTTCTGATTTTCATTTTTTATGGATTTTGTTTTTGGAGATGTCTGTGTGTCTTTCTAGTGTTTTTTCCTTTACTTTTTGTTTGTTTTCTAAAATGACAAAGAAAGAAATGGAGTTGATTGGTTGGGGTGGCATGGAAGATTTGGGAGGAATAGGGTCATAGAAAATCATGATCAGAATATTTTGTATGAAAAATATTTTTTGTAATATCACTTAAATTTTTTGGATGCCATCTATATTTTTAACTGACATAATTGTTTACAATATCTATTACATATGAAGGATATACACAATGTGGAATAGTTTCTGTGATAGAAACTACTCCTAGCAATTTCAAGAATGCAATCCACTTTTATTCATATTGTCTTTCTGCTGCACAGTATCACTTTTAAGTTCGCTCTAAATATGGATTAAAAATATTTTTTAAATAATATTTTTTAAGACACTAATAAAAGGGAAATTATTTCTATTAGCTGGCTTAAGATATAATCACATATTTTAATGGCACTAAAGAGTTGACAAAAAAACCTTTTAAATATAATAAACAGGAATGTCGTATGATCCAAAACTCACATATATTTCTTACCTTGCAAAAAATAACTTGATTTGAATAAATCAGGAAACTGAACTCCTTCACAATAGCTTCAGAATAAAATAAAATGACTATCAACAAACATATCTAAGGATGTAGAAGAATGATACATTGAAAAATTTAATATGAGTTAAAAGTAATGGGAAAAAAGGTAGAAGATGGAAAAACTCACATTCTCATGTGTTGGCAGAACTAATCTGACGAGAATGAAGGGTCTACTGCAGAATGTTGGCAGGTCGCATGTAATGGTGGGCAAAATTCCCATGGTGTACTTTGGACAGCTTTTGAAATGATTCTAAGATCAAAATGGTAACAAAGTGTCATTGACAAGTCAAAATAACACTAAGCAGAAGAAAAAAGCCTAGAAATATGAATAAATCTAATTTTATTTTATTCATAGAACTGTGGTAACAAAAACAACATGATATTGGTACAAAACCCAATACACTAGAAAAAGGAGAGAACAGAATTTCCAGAATAGGGCAAGGGAATGACTTTGTGGATAAAGGCAATTGTAACCTACTCTGATGACCTGAGTTGATCCCCAGGACCCACTTTTAAAGATATAAACTGATTTCAAAAATCTCTCCTCTGACCCTCACCTGTGTGGTGTGTCCACAAAACAAACAAACAAATGTCAAAAATTTCAAATGAGGGCCTTGGGAAACAGCATAGTAGTTAAGAACCCTGGCTGCCTGTGAAAAACAGGTTTGGAGTTCAATTCCCAGGACCAACACAGCATCTCACAACCACCTGTAACAACTCCATTTTCTGGGAACCCAATGCTTTCTTTTGGTACCAAGCACATATATAATGCATAGAAATGGATCCAGGATAAAACACACATACATAAAAGAAAAATAACAATAAAATGAAGTAAATAAATGAAAACAAGAATATCCAGATGTAAATCTACAGAGATATATTCATCTAATATTTAATAAGGTAATAAAAATACATATAGGAGAAAATATAGGTTCAACAAATGTTGTGGAAAAAACTGTTATGTAATGTAGTACAATGAACCTAGATCAATATTTCTCAATCTGTGAAAACATAATTCCACAATTCAGTAGCAGTAATGTGTATATGACTTGGACTTTTAGAGTTCAAAAAAAAAGGATGACATTGAACATAAGTAAAGGTAAGAACTATATAAAAAGGGACTTGATAACCAGAAATAGTCCCAAGAATGAACACACTATCATCCATAAAATTAAATACATTTTTTACAGAAATAAAGGCAATCAGTAAAGCGAAGAAAGATCACATAGGATCTTAAAATACACCTGAGAGTAACAGACTATAGACATGGAGATAAAGAATTACATCACTTCCCCTTCCCTACCTTCCTAACCTTTCCCATCTTCATCTGCAAACTACTTCTCAAATTTATGGCCTTTTGTTCTTCATTTAGTGTTATTACATTTACACCCATGTGTAACACACACACACACACACACACACACACACACACACACACTTCTGCTGAAATGTATTTTGTTAAAGCTAGATCATTCCTATTGAACATATTAGGCAGTGCACACTTTGTCCTGAAAGATAATAGATTTGAGGTAGTTTTTCACAATGGGAGATTTGATATATACCACAAATGGAGAATATCACCTAAAGACAGGAAATTAAGTTGAACTTAAGTGCTTATGTGAAATGAGAGCTTTTTATTTTGAAAGTCATTCACAAAACTCCCTGAGCCTGTTCCAGCAGACGGACATGGGTGATAAACAGGATGTAGCCATAGTACTAGCCTGGAGCCAGTTATACGCCATCACGCAGATTCTGTAGATAAGGATGGAATCATTGCCCCATTTACTCCTGGCAAGCATAGACAGTGTTAACTTCCTGTACCAAGACAGTCCTGTGGAAATGGCTCAAGACAGTGAAGATTAATGATTCCTGGATAATGACTTTTTTTTACAAATTCACTTTTTCTCTACTATGATCAAAGACCTAACAAAAGAGACTTTTCCAAGGAAGTTTCTGGAGGCTTATATTTTAAGTGGACACAATTCAGGGTGTCAGGAGTTGTGAGACAGCTTGTCGTATTGCTTCCACAATTAAGAAACACAGAGAGATAAAAGCTGTTGCTTTATTTCTTCTTTCTTTTTGACTCAGTCCGAGTCACAGTCCATGAAATGGTGTCTCCAACATTAATGAAAATGTAGTATAGAGTAGCCACTATGAAAATTGATATAGAGGTTCATCAAAAGTATAGAAATTGATCTGCCTTCTGACCCAGCTATACAACTCCCAAGTATATAGCCAAAGACCCTATACCCTACTACATAGATACTTCTTTATCCATGTTTATTGACAGTCTATTCACAGTAAATAAGAAGCAGAAACAGCTTACACCTATCAGTTGATGAATGGATAATGAAAATGTGGTATATATACACAGTGAGTTTTAAGTTTTAGTCAGCTCTAAAGATAATGAAATTTGGAAGAAAATGGATATAGTGGGAAATAACCATTCTTAGGTAATCCAGACCCACAAAGACATATGCCAAATGTTCTTTATCATATATGGATCATAGCTTTGAATTTTTATATTTATTTTATTATTTTTTTAATTATGTGTATATATGGGGGGTGGGGGTGGGTACACACAGAAGCCAGAGGAGTTTGGTCCTCCTGGAGCTGGAGTCACAGGTAGTTTTAAGCTGCCGGATGTGAGTGCTGAGAATCAGACCCGGGTCCTTTGGAAGAACAGTACATGTTGTAGCTCTCTATCTTTGAATCTTTAGATATGTGTGTTTAAATTGAAGTACCTTTAGAATTTAAGAAACAATTCTAGGTCTATGGTATGAGTGCCAAGATTTCAAACTGGGTAGGATAATAAAGTATAGATGGTATTCAGGAGAAAGGAATAATGGGGGTAAGGTATATTAAATGATGTGAAAATGGGAAGGCAGGAAAAAAAAAAAGGTTAAAAGAGTAGGTTACCTAACACTAAAGACTTCTGAAGTACATATGGAAACCTAGTATTGTAGAAGCTTGTTGATAGTAGAATTTGGTGAACAAGGGTATTAATAAAATATTAACAAGCTGTTACTAAACAATGAGAGAATGTATCACTTTGTTCAGTTGCTCCCTCTGAATAAGAATGACCAGTAGAACAGGTTGAATGGGAATCATGAGTACATTTAACTCTTTATGAGCTACTCTCATTCTCATTGAGGCATTTGTTGCACTATTTGGGGGCCCTTTTAGTGCTCCATGGAAGAGGCAATCAAGATCAACCCAGTAATGGGTGGATCGGGAACAGTTCTATTCTTTACCACATCATTCCTCAGAATAATCTTGGTTCTCATGGTCTCTTGACTGCCCTTTGGCCAAGTCCTCTCTGTTGGGTAGATCAGTATGATGAAAGGGTCCAGTGATCAAAAGCAATGTCTACCCTAGAGGCTTTCGTGCCCTCTAAAAAGTAAGTTTAGTTTACAGTTCTTATGCTCAGGCATTATTTTTCTAATTCTGGTATATAATATGATGTCCAGAAGAAAGGTGTCCCAGGCGTATTTTCTTTCATTAGAGAAAAGCATACTATGTCTGGAGCAAAATAGTTTCCAACACAAGAGATTCTAAATCATTTTCAACTTGTAGCTCTATTTCCAAATCTACCCCCTGTTTCTCAGTGCTCCATTGAATTTTTATGACATTCATTGACCTGTTCTAAACCAAAGAACCAACTTGTACACAAAAACAGGAGACCATCACTTGTATTTCCTCCTCTACACAAAGAACTCCAATTCTAACCAGACCCTGCTGATGATTTCTGGGGAAGTGTTTATTCATACAATATAGACTATTGGCAATGTGGTGGATGCAAACAATACTAAATTTAACAGACTAGTGAATGGTACAGCACATATTATGGTTGTACAATAAAGAGATTATCTAACTGTGACTGAAATGAATATTCCATACTCTTGCTTTACTTTCAGATGACACTTGGCTGGCCATTTCTATGAACTGTCATAAAGAGACCTGCTTAGCACAAAGTAAGTGCAAATACCCATCCAATCCTGATGTTTATACTCAATCAACTGTATACCACTATCATAGGTGCAGCCAAATATATTCTGATTAGATTTAAGTACCACATTCATGACAGAACTATGTTTGTGTAGATAATTTTGGCTGAAAACCGTGACAGGATATTGTAAGCTACAGCATGAAGGCCTTGTGTGATATTTGGTTAATGAAGTACTTGCCTCAAAACAAAACAAAACAAAAAACAACCAAACAACAACAACAAGAAGAAACCAAAAACATCAAAAGAATAAAACAAAATGACCCACCAACCAACCAAACAAACAAACAAAAACAAAAAAATCCTCTACATGTCTGGATTTGCACCTTACACTACTGACCTATTGTGCCTAGTGTGTGGAAACAAACACTTTACTGTGTTCTCTGTATCTTGGCAAAAAAATCATAAATGTTAAATGCATTATTGTGTTGCAATGCTCAAATACAGTGAAATAACTATGTTACCTTAACCAAGATTCAGTGACAGAAACATGTAAGTACCTGAAGAGAATGGAAAGTCTGGGACACAGATATTTTGCTAGGGCATGGAATTCATACCAACCTTTATGGAATAGAGATAGCTATAGTGATTTGCAACTTAATTTGGGCCCTAGAAATATTCTTTAAATAAATAAATGGGTTATATTGACTACTTGCGTCATTATGGTCATGAGGATGTTAGATCCTGCCTGAAGTTGAAGAGTCATATAATCCTCACCTTCATTCCTGATGTTATTTCTTCTTGCCCCCTAGCAGTGTGTGGCCTTTGGGATGGTTCAGCAGTCTATATAGGAGGTGGAATATTTACTGGAGGTGGGACTGCACTGAAACAGCCAAGATATGCCACTGTCTTTCTCTCGATCATGCTTCTGTAAGTAACTCTTTCCTCGTGTTCTTCTAAGATAAGACACTCCATTGATTTAGAACCTTCTTTGGAGAATTTACATTTTTGTGTCCTTTTTGCTCTTTTTGGTGGGAACAGACTGTTGTTCATACCTATTCAGGACAATAAAAAACAAATAAAGCTAAGAGGCTTTCCAATCATTTCTGTGGAAAGAAATACACCACACTCTTGCATCAGTGGTTCTTAAAGTTAGTCATCAATCCAGGAGACATGGAAATGTCTATAGAGGTAGTGGATTTTCTGAGGTGACCTAGAAAAAAGAGATTTTTTTTCAGTATCTAATGGTAAGAGCAAATCACATAACCAGGGCTTAGAATGATCAACATCTAAAAGTCAAATTGAAGAATCTGACACATTTGACTGGAATTAGTTAAAAGGAGATTGCATTCTGAATTTGTAGTAACTCTAAAAGGTAGACTTACTATGTTCTGGTTTCTGGATCTCTGCCATGAAATGCTTGACTTGAATAAACTTATTCTTATTTTCTAATGTGGGGACTTAGTGTTCAAGGATAGCAGATGAGTATCTATCTATCCAGCTCTAGAATGTCAATCTAGCCAAAAAATGTTTGAAAAAGGATGCTATGTAATATTCACCTTTTCTTCTTGATAAAATTTCTAAGAATTAGATTTTGTATGAAACAAAAACTAGTATCTTTAGTTCCTTGCACTCAGCTTACACTGTGAATATCTTTCAGATGATAAATGGCAGGACCATATATGTGCATACAATAAATTAGGGAAAGTCTTATGACTTTTGAAAATTTAGCTGGACAATAAGAAATAGTCCTCCCCAGGAAAGAGTGCTCAGTTTTTATTCAACATCAAAGGGTCAGTCCTAAAAACATATACATACAACTCATATTATACTAAGCACATTATATATACATATATATATATATATATGTATGTATATATATATATATATATGTAACAACTAAAGAAATGTTCATGAATGGAAAAAAGAAAAGGGATCTGGGGGCCAAGAGAAGAAAGATGTTAATGATGTAAATATCACAATCTCAAAAAATATTTTAAAGAAATATTTTAAAAGGATTTATCTTAATTATTTTTATTTTGCTTAGAAATAGTTGATGCTTATGTCTTTTATATAACACAATCTTTTTGAAGTCTTAATTATTTTGAATATTTATGATTTGGGTTATTTTTTATACTAAATACATCTTTCCAGTATTCCAATTTTATTCTGAATATTTATAATTGCATTTAACAAAGGTACTAGACATGAAGAGCTTTTTCAGACTTGCTCACTGAAAAAAACAAATAAAATTTTCATTTTGATATCTACATGGTGCTCAACTCCTGGAAAACATTGATTATCAATATATTAGAGCTCTTGTTTTGTTCACCTATAAAATGTTATTTGATGATGACACCAACATTGCTAATTGTCAAAAAGAAATTCATTCAGAAGACAATGTTTTATAGAGCAAGGCAAATAAATGAAATAAAGATTACTGTGGCCTCTGTGTTCAAGTACTAAAATATAAAACTTAATCTCTATAAGTAACAAGGTCTGCTGACACTGAGCCTAAAGACTACGGATGTGTTCCTTATGACCCAGTTATAACTGAGAGAGCCTGGGTGTGTACTGACTCACAATGCATAATGCAAAGCCCATAGTTTTGACAGTATGCCATACAACACCTGATACAAGATATAGGGAAAAATTGATTAATCCTACCAGCCTTCTCTTTACACCACACATTTTGATGGCATTTCACAGGATCAGTCTACCTAGAAGGTTATCAGAAAGTTCAACTTTATAGAAAAAAAAAATCTCTGAAGATTGTTGTAAAATGGCAAACTCATGGAATCATTACCATAAGATAGTAAATCCAGTCCAGAGGCTCCTTTTCATAACAGGAATCTCATTATTCTCAGTGTTACACAATAGTCATTTACCTGTTTACTCTTTTCAGGCATGAAGATAAAATGAAAGGCACCATGCTACCTGGTCAAAAGCACACATTGCACATTTAGTTTAGAAAGTTCATATTTCCCCTCCATATATTCTGCAATGACTTCTGAGCCTTAGCTGTGGATTTTGAGCGGAGGAATAGGGAGTTTGCTCTGAGACTGTTTCTCCTAGGAATGTCAGAAGCTATACCCATAATGTCTCAGCAACGTGATTGCCTAAGCACGATCTGAATAAAGACAAAAACAATAGACATAATAACATGAATTAAGTGAAGCTCAGGAGGGCTCAACCCTATAAAAAGAACTATAGGCAACTAAGGCATGATGACAGTAGGAGAAATAATCTCCCAGGGAAAAGCACATCTATCAGTTATCTAACACTAAATGGTCCTCCCTGAAAATCTCACATACAAGTAGCATTATAGAAGTTGCACAGATATATTTAAGAACATATATATATATATATATACACACATACACACACACATATATATATATACATATATATATATATATATATATATATATATATATATATATATATAGCAATTAATGAGAAGAAGAGGCCATGCATTTAAATAAGAGTAAGGAGAAGTATATAGGGAGATTGGGAAGAGGAAAGGGAAGGGATAAATGATGCAACTATGTTAATCTAAAAAAATTAAAGAAAAAGTGCTATCTTGGAGGAAGTGATCATTGAAAACCAGCATAAATTCTTACAATACTGAACTAATAGACAATTAATTATCTCCCAATGTATGCAATTTCATAATTATTTCTGATATCAATCCCAGGCTGTGGGAAGTCATCAAGTTCTGAAATTCTGACACTATATACCTCTGCAAATATAACAATTTAATTACATTTTCACAATGAGAGACACTTCTTCACTACCACTGCTATACAGTATCAAATCACACAGGGGAAGGCACTGGGCAAAAATGATGGAATTTCTTTTGGTAACTTTGGATGATTGGATCTGAGTGGCTCTTGTTTCTGTTAGTAGGGGCCCTTCTGATGCTGCTGGTATCAAACCTCCTTTTATGGGAGAATGTGGCCTCTGTGCCTTTGAGTAGTGATGAGATTGATAATGATCAGCTATACCTCAAGGAACTGTTTGATCATGCCCTGATATTATTTCAGAATATCAGTAAACTCAACACTGAAATGCGTAGGACATATGTAAGTATTTCACTTATCTCTGGCGTATTTCACAAACCAGCCTCCTTGTCAAAGACTGTCCTGTACCCCACTTTCAGTTATCATGAACCAAAGTTCTAATAATGCATGTTTCTAATTATACCATAAAGCATCAGCTATTGAAAAAAATGAAGGAAGGAGAATGGGGTAAGTATCCTGAAATCTCAAAGGTATTTGAAGACTTCAGTGAGCTTTGGAATTTCCCCTACTTATCTTTAAATTTTCTTAAATATCCATTTGTGGCATAAAAATCTAATAGACACAGCTGGGAAAGAATTCTGACTTCCTCACCTTGCTTGCTAGAGGGCCTCTGTTAGCATCTTTACTTAGCACACAACAGGCATCCAATAGAGAAGAAATGTACTACAGTGAGTCCCATGGAATCAATGAAACTAATCTAAATTGTGATGGTGTGTCAAAAGACATGGACATGTCCCACCTCCCCAAAAACTCACACACAAACATTAGCTTTTCAAATTTTTAAACATTAGGAGTACTTGTTTAAAGAGTTACAATGCATGAGTTTATTCACTTAGAAGGCTAGTTTAGAAGAGGAATAGGTTCTCTGTTCCTGTGGGCTGTATGCTTTCTTATCAATGTCAGTCAATATCAAGTATGAAACAGTAGGCAAGATTTCTGTATAGAAATGGACACGGGAAGAATGAGTCTGTTTTTGTAATAAATGTGAATTGATGTTGTCTTTTAACTCACTAGTTTTTCTATCATTCATTTCATTCTGTTTCAGACTGACACCGAGTTCTCTGAAAAATTTCACCATAAATTTGTAAGTACCTCCCCCTGCTTCTCTCTTCTTTCCTCCCAAAGCCTTCAGGTTAATGACTTTGAACTTAGCACAGGAAAGAATCCAAGTTTCAAATAATATACCTCCAACAGTAAAACAAAACAAAACAAAACAAAACAAAACAAAAATATGCCAGCTACTATAAAACAGAGTAAGAATGGGAGAGCTTCAGAAAGTTTCTGGTTTGCAAGAAATAGAATGATTTTAAGGTCTTTCTCCCTTCATAATTGTTGTTTACTTTAAAAAATTCTTTACACTTGCAACATAATGCTTTAATAGTTGTATCCATGGAAGAATTCTAATTCCATCTTGCTTCTATAAACCAGTTGCTGTTGACATCATTACTTAGCACACTGGGCACATGCAAGACAGGAAAGGTATATTGTACTGAGTCACAAGGAATGGATAGAATGAATCTAAAGTGTGATAAGTCAAGCTGGGAAAAAGCAGACAACAACAACATGTTAGCTTCTCATAGGCCCCTAAATTCTGGGAATCATATTTAAAGGATTCTGGTGGACACGTTTACTAGGAAGGTTGTTTTAGAAAAGAAATAGACCCTGTCTTCTTGAGGGCTGTATGTTACTTGTTCAAGGCAAGTTAGTGTCAAGAAGGAGATTCTAGACATGGCTTCGGCACAGATATGGGCACCCAGAGAATTTCTCTTTTTTGCAATAAATGTGCATTCATGTTGTCTCTTTACTCACTACTTGTTTTTTTTTTGCCACTCTCCTCATCTGAACTCAGCTAAGTTCATCATCAGAATCGTATGACAAATTTGTAAGTGCCTCTCTTATTTCCATTTTCTCTGTCACAAAAAGTCAAAACAAAAACAAAAAAACATGCTTTTGAAATGATTTGTTTAAGATTCTATCTAACTTCATTTATTTTTTAATTTAAAAAAGTATAATTGTGACATAAAACTATAATCATTTGGCTAGGGAAGAATTCTGATATCCAGATCTAGGTTTTAAAGAGCAAGAAATAGTGGCATTTTCCATTTAGTTCACTGCAGATACCCAAGAAGGTTGAAATGCCTTAGAGTCAGTTAGATGTAGGAAGCAGAACCAATCCAAAAGGAAACCAAGTCAAGAAGGAGGAAAAACACTAATTGATTTTCTGGAACCCCCAGTGTTAGGAATTCTGTTAGAGATCTCCAGTGCTAGAGTTTATTCAGTAGGGTCTGGTTGACAGAAGAACATAGGCTCTCTTTGCCTGATGACTTCAAGTCTCTTCGAGATGAGTCAAGATAAAGGAGAAAAAGTATAAGGCTACAGTGAAATAATGGGCATTAAGAGAATGTCTCTGCAGTTGCAAAAGATGTATTATTATTGTGTTCTTACTCATAAGTTTCTCATTCCTCATCTTATACTGACCCTGTTTTAAATTTTTAACTTTCCTTGTAATCCATTAAACTTTGGCACAGTAGCTGATTATCAGTTTAAAATAACACATTAGTGATAGTATATTTAAAATATAATATTTAAGATTATATACTGATCAATATGTATATAAGTAATTCTGTTGTTTTTTTGTTTCATTGCTCACTATTTCCTAAAATTGGTCACTTTGTTACATCTACTTTGTCGAACGACACAATTCCAGTCAGGATTTATGATTAACACTGGATGGTTCCGGTTCACTTGTAATTGAAAGAACACATACAATTTTAAAATACCTAGGTAGCCCTGAAGAGAAGGCTCAGTGGTTCAAATGATTAGTTAAAAGACACACATCAATTTGGATACACAGGAACCAAGAAATTAATGAATATAGATACTATACAGCTGACACTGGGCCCAGATTCTTGAGAAAGATGATCTCTAAGACACTTTATATTTACATGTTTTGTTATTTTTAAGGCTTCCCTTCAATAAAGAAAGATTTAGGGGAAATAACAAGAAACTAAGAGAAGAGTAAATAGGGGAAAGGGTTGGTGCATTGGATATTTAGATGAAAAGCAAAATGAGATTACAGACCCAATTAAAAAGAAAGGTATCAAAATATTCACATTGTTAGTCATTAACCTTAGATTTTAGGCAGAGTTAATTTTTACAAAGCACACATCTCTTGAGTACATTAATATTCCTGTTGTGGAATCACTGGCTTATTTTCCAGATTCCATTTAACTGAATATTAATTTTGATATATACAGATGCTTGAGTTTTTTGAGGATCAGGAGTTTCTGATCAAGACTCTCACCTGCTGCCACAATTACTCCATCAAAACTCCAGAAAACGTGGATGAAGCCCAAAAGATCTCTGTGAGTCTTTAGTTTGATTTTTTTACCTAAACAGCTGAAGCAGTAGGCTAACTTTGCTTTGTCATGCTGCAAATATTGTAATAGATGTGGTAACCACGTCTGCAGGAAATAGAGTGAGAATGAACAAAGAAAAGTCATGCTAGATACTTCATAATAAATAAGCAGGTCCATACATGGTCCATTAGAGGGTTTTAGTTTAATATCTCAGCTCTAGACTTTACTCAGTAACTACAGTAACAGCAACGTTGCTTGTCTGTTACCAGTGTATGGCTCCCCATAGCAAATCTCACATTACTGACCACCATGCTCTGTCTTCTTGATTTTCAAGACTTGTTTGATTCTACTTCTGCTTCTTATTTTCCTACTAATTCCTCCAACTCCTATGATTTCTTCTTTGTCTTAGCTGTAAGCACGTGAACAAGGGAGTGTTATAAACACGACCTGATGCAACTGAGAATGTGCCATGCTTTCAGTTGTAATGAGAAGGTCTACATATCACTGCATCTTTAATTTAAAACTGTTAGGATCTTTCCTTATGATTCTTTCCCATAACTTATCCTCAAATGAACTGATTTAGGCATCATGTGAAAATAATGAGGCAAAGTGAAGGAAGAAAAGTGTATCTAGGTGTGCACTCTAAGACCAGGAATTTCACGAAGTGCGTTATTGACAGTGCCGCAATTAACATTCACAAAAGCTGGATGGTGTTAGTAGACCAAGGCTTGGAAAATTTCTGGAACTTGGACCATCAGCCTTCTCTGTCAGAATGAGTGTCCGGTTCCATCCAATGCAAGTCCTCACTCTTATTCATATGCAGCAATGGTCCTAGGAGAATGCCTTGCCAAGACCTTTGGATCTGGGCCTTTCCTTCATGTATTTTTCCTCTTTCCCTCACAATGTCCACTGGATTCTTCTCTACTCCTTTTATTGTCTCTACAATAGCTAAATATATCAGCACATGAAACATTTTAAACCAGGAATGAGTTTCATGTAAGATTCTGGAACACACTGGGTAGTCAAATATCTGTTGTTATTTATTATTATTATTATTTTAGTTAAGATCTTTTGTTTGTTTTTGCATACCAACCACAGTTTCCCCCTCCCTTCCCTCCTCCTGCTCATCCTCCATCTTCCCCCTCACCATGCCATGCATCCACTCCCCAGAGAGGGTAAGGCCTCCCATGGGGTGTCAACAAAGTCTGGCACATCAAGTTGAATAGGACCAAGCCCCTTCCTTCTGTATCAAGGCTGAGCAAGTTATCCCTCCATAAGGAATGGGCTCCAAAAGGTAGTTCAGGCACTAGGGATAAATTCTTCTCCCACTGCCAGTGGCCCCACAAATACCGTTAAAGACTATGATATCTCACTGTTCCACTGTTCTTAACTTACATGTTACAACAAATATACTGTTGTACTAGAGGCAAGGAGAGGGAGTGTTCTACTTATTAATGCCATATTTTCTTTATTGTATATTTTTATTAACAGCCTAAATTAACCTAAAATATAAGTATGATTATGAACAATCTAGGTTTTTTGTGTGATGAATCTAAGTTAAATCCCTTGCTCTTTACATTGGGTGAGATCTGTTTTTCCTCAATCAAAAAACCTACTAAGCCCCAGCTTCTAGGGTTGCCCTCCACAAGCAAAATAATGAAATATGTAAGAACTAATAAGGAGGTCAGAGGGCAGAATTCTATATGGAAAAGAAAACATGATCAATAAAATGGGTAATTAGAAATAATAGATATATACATAAATTTTTATAATGACAAATTACAGGTTAATCATTTTTACTTTACTAATTTATATTATTTTTATTCCCCCAAAGCATTCTACCTTCTCATAAAATTACCAAGTAGATATTTAAATTGCCTGTCTCATTGAAAACAAAAACTAACAAATTGTTCTTTATTTCACTTATCTTAATGTAATTGCTGAAAAATGCTCCTTAGGTTGAAAACTTTCCAAAACTGATACTCAGTAGAATGTGGGCTTGGAATAACACTCTTAAAAACGTACTGCCCATACTTGAAAATAGGACAGGAACACATAATGACGTCATATCATTAGCCAAAGACATTGAGAGAAAAAATGCAGTGCTTTATGAGGACACCAAGAATATACTCAGCTCGGTGAGTAGTGTTTCTATCTTCTACTTTTCTCATTCATGAATGATCTGAATTCTGCAATGGACATTAAATGTTGAAACACCTCTCTTTGCAAAAACAGATTTTGGCACTCAATCTTGTAGACAGTCTCAGAACTAATGGGTAGAGATTAAAGTATAATGTTTTCACAGTAATTTGAATAGCACCTATTCATCTGGGCATATTGAAATACTCCTGACTACTTTATTGGACAGTCTTATTAAATTACCCCTAGCCAATCAGTATTCATTACCAATGTCAAACACAAGTCTATACTCAAGTTTGAAATCTTTGTCCTTTGTCTTCAGAATCATAAAAAAACCAATTTCATTGGAAGTCAATTTGTTGAAAGAAAATAGTTACATGGGTCTTGTACTTTTACTTTTAGATGACTGGCAGATTTATAGTAGCAAGTGTCTGACATGTGAAAATCCACGCCTGTGATGGAAGTTTCATATACTTTTATTTTTCTTTGTGATAACAAGTTTTCTTTTCCTAACTTTTATTTCAAATGTTTTCATCATATTCTTTACCCTCTCCAAGTCCTACAGGTTTTCTCTACCACATTATCTACTCAACTTTATATTTTTTTCTTTCCCTCCCTCCCTCTCTCTCATAAGAAAGAAAGACAAAAAAATAGAAATCAAATCACACAAGAAAACTATGAAAAATAGAATGCATAAGATGAAAAATACCCCCCCAATAAAAACTACAGTCCCAAAATAGAGAAAAAAAAAAAACATTGAGTATGTTTTGTATTGACCACTTATTCTTGGGCATGAGGCCTGACCCAGAGTATGTTCAATACGCCCAATGATCCTCTTTTGTAGAGCACAGATTTTTCTTCTTTTCATCAGATATCAGTTGCAAATTACTTTCTGGTTAGAGATAGAGCTCTCTGTCCACTTCCCCTTCTCAGTGCTGGAATTTTATCTGGTTTGTACCTGTGCATGCTATCAAAGTCTCTGTGAGTTCATCTGTGTATCAGCCATACTGTGTCTGGAAGATGTTTCCTTGGAGTCATCTACCACCTCTGTCTCATAATTTTCCACCTCCATACCCATGTAGATACTGTATGATTGAGGGAAGGGGTTTGATAAAGACATCCTATTTAGGGCTGAGTTGTCCAAAGTCTCTAACTCTCTATACATTGTCCAATAGTGAATCTCTTTGTTGACTACTATCTACTGTCAGAAGAAACTTCTCTGATGAGGCTTGAGAGATACTCTTATCTATCACAATGTTTTATTGCTATGCTCATTTTGCAGAATAATAGTAGTATGTTTTTTCCAAGCTCTTATAATTTTCCTAAATGCAATTTAATATCTAGAAAAAAAAGGAAAAGCAAACACAAACTGTATAAACAAAAACTGACTGATTATCATTTTGGTCATTAGATTTATGGAAAAACAGAAAATGTGGATTACACTGTCTTGACTGGTCTTGAAGACTTACAATCATCTGATGAAGAATTTCGCCATTTTGCTCTTTGTAAATTATCCTATTGCTTGCGTGTAGATATGAATATGGTTGACATTTGTCTCAAGCTCTTGAGGTGTGTGGTGGTTGGTAATAGTGACATTTGCTCATCTCAAAGAATTAGAGATGACTCATAATGCTGCATCCTTTTAAAGAGTCTTAATTTTATATACTTTGAAGGTATACTTGGGTATAATGGATGTTTTTAAAAAGAAAATTAAAGTGCATATATTCCAAAGTTTACAAAGAAAACTTGCTGGGTTGTGGTGGCACATGCTTTTATTCCCAGTACTTGGGAGGCAGAGGCTGGTGGATCTCTGTGAGTTCGAGGCCAGCCTGAGCTACATAGTGAGTTTCAGGAAAGGCCCAAAGCTACACAGAGAAACCCTGTGTCGAAAAACCAAAATTCAAAGAAACAAATAAACAAAGAAAACCCCAAAATTCTTGTTGGTATCTTTTATTCATTTAGTACTAACTGTGTTAATATTTTAAGAGGTTTAGTTGGCAAATGGAATAATTTACAACTTATGTTAGAATCACAGTAAATATTAATATTGATATAGTCATTAAAATCAGAGAGTAAATTCACAATTAAACATATTTCTGTGTTAATAAATAATGGGGATATTGGCATACCTCAAGAAAGTAATTCAATTTTCCAGAATCCATCCTGTTGCCCCATATCATAGCTACCAAACAGGTTCTGCAAGGCCAGGACCCCATGCACTCTGGTTCAGCTTTGTTATGTCTTCTCTCTTATCCCTAAGTCAACTGCACTCACCACAGTCCTCAAAGAGAACCAAATAGTACCACACTCAGGGATCCAATCTAGTCCTAGGAGCCATGTCCATGCCTTCTCAAGCTCCAGGTTTGGGCTAAAATTCACATCCTATGTTCAAGAGTGGTCCTTTTGGTCCATCAGACCTTCTTCTGTCATCCCATGACATTATCTTTTCTCTAGGTCCAGCCAGGCTGGTACACCCTTTTATCTGGCCTAGCCTGGTGAATGCTTACACTTGTCCCCATGCTTCCTGCACTCACCTAAACCCGACAATTTAATAGACCAGAATAATTTCTAACTACATTCTAAAACTTATCCATACAGGCACAGGTAAGTACAGCTCCTATCCCTTGTCAAAGAAACTACTCAATCTCAAATTTCCTTCTAAATTTTGATCTTTGCACTCACAGACTACCTTAAGCTCTCAGGAGTTATTAAAGAATTTTCTTGTACATGGCAATTAACAAAGAAATTCTCAAATAATAAAAGTTCAGAGAAAAAGTATTAGTGTTATGCTTACTCATCAGAGGGATATCTACATCACAAAAATTCCAAGTTTCAGAGACCACTTTGGAAGATGGGGACAAAAAAATTATTAACAGACAGAGCATAGTGAGCACCAAAGCAAAACAGTGTCTTTTGGACATGATAGGACCCATTAACTCACAGGAGCCGTGCTTATTTGTGCAAGAACTGAACAAGAACAAGATAGTAATCATTGAAACATGTAGTGAGGATGTGACATGGACCCCACACTGTAGCTGCAGAGCTTCTTTCCAGGTCCGCCAAGCCCCTGCAGTCCCACAGCCCACATAAAATAAACACACAGACACTTATGGCACATGGCTTACTGGTATCTTAACATCTCCTCATGGCGGAGGCTGGCTCATGACTCTCTGACTTAGCCTTCCTGTTCCCAGAATTTTCTTCGCTGTTTGTCCTGCCTATACTTCCTGCCTTGCTACTGGCCAATCAGCATTTTATTTATACAGAGTGATATCCACTACACCACACCCTAACTTAGGAGTTATCGAGGACTAATGACTTCATAGAAGAGAGGGAATGGCCACTTCTAGGTAGCCTGCTCTCCAGTAGATGACACCATAACTGTCTCCACAAATTTTACTTGGTGAGTTATTTGAAAAATACAATGTTGGGAAGGAGTGGGGAGAAGGGGGCAATTAAAGAACTATCACATTATGTAGTAGATAAATTATAGGGAAATTTAAAGACTAGATACTAACTTCTGTAGCAGATCCATAAATTTTCCATGAAGAGATCCTGTTTTAGTGGTGTCTACACCTGGGGATGTACTTACTGTTGCACAGGACACTTTGAACTGAATTGCATACACATGCTTAAATATATTCATTCGTGCATAGAAAATGCAAACACAATTTTTTCATTAAACATTACAAAAGCCTCCTGGGTTTACAGCTCTGAATATTACTAATTGGCATGTTATCTCATCTTGACTTTCAAGACTTCCAGGTTCTACTTTGGTTTCCAACCTGCATGCCCATTCCTCACTGAATTCTCTCTCTTTTCCTGTGTCTTAACTGAGAGTCAACCGAGCAAGAGGTGCCTGTAGAATAAGGAAACAACCAGGCATTTGGTGTGGTGACATAGTATGCCATTTCTACATGCTTTAACCGAAAATATGACCTTAACTTAATTTGAAATACACACATGCACAAACACAGACCCATACATGATATAGTTGTTCTCACAACATGATTTTATTGCTGTACCATTGATATTTACATCTGCTACTCTCGTTGATGATCAATATGATAATATAAAGAAAAGGAAAAAAAGATGAAGAAAGATAATATCTTCAGTCGAGGGGCATCTAGGTTGTTTCCAGGTTCTGGCTATTACAAATAATGCTGGTATGAGCATAGTTGAGCATGTGTCCCTGTGGTATGATTGAGCATTTTTGGGGTATATACTCAGGAGTAGTATAGCTGGGTCTTGAGGAAGATTGATTCCCAATTTTCTGAGAGACCACCACACTGATTTCCAAAGTGGCTGTATAAGTTTGCATTCCCACCAGCAGTGGTGGAGTGTTCCCTTGCTCCAGATCCTCTCCAACATAAGCTGTCTGCATGTCTGCAGTGCTTTTAATCTTACCCATTCTGACAGGTGTAAGATGGTATCTCAGAGTCTTTTTGATTTTCATCTCCCTGATGACTAAGGATGCTGAGCAATTCCTTAAATGTCTTTCAGCCATTTGAAATTTCTTCCTTTGAGAATTCTCTAGTTAGCTCTGTAGCCCATTTTTTTAAAATTGGATTGCTAGGTATTTTGATGTCTAGTTTCTTGAGTTCTTTATATACTCTGGAGATCAGCCCTCTGTCCGATGTGGGGTTGGTGAAGATCTTTTCCCATTCTGTAGGGTGTTGTTTTGTCTTATTTACTTATTTACTTCTGCCTTACAGAAGCTTCTCAGTTTCATGAGGTCCATTTATTAATTGTTGCTCTCAGTGTCTGTGCTACTGGTATTTAGGAAGCAGTCACCTGTGCCAATGCATTCAAGACTACTTTCTACTTTCTCTTCTAGAAGGTTCAGTGTAACTGGATTTATGTTGAGGTCTTTGATACACTGGGACTTAAGTTTTGTGTATGGTGATAGATATGGATCTGTTTGCAATCTTCTACATGTTGACATCCAGTTATGCCAGCACCATTTGTTGAAGATGCTTTCTATTTTCCATTGTACAATTTTGGCTTCTTTGTTAAGACCCTGCTATACCACTCTTGGGCATATACCCAAGGAATGCTCAATCATACCCCAGGGATACATGCTCAACTATATTCATAGCAGCATTATTCATAATAGCCAGAACCTGGAAACAACCTAGATGTCCCTCAACTGAAGAATGAATTAAAAAACGTGTTGTAGATATACACAATGGAGTACTACTCAGCAGAGAAAAACAATGACATCTTGAAATTTACAGACAAATGGATGGGACTAGAAAAAAATCATCCTGAGTGAGGTAACCCAGATTCAGAAGGACAAACATGGTATGTATCCACTCATAAGTGTATACTAGATTTAAAGCAAAGAATAACCAGACAACAACCCACAACTCCAGAGAAGCTAGATAACAAGGAAGACCAAAAGGGAGACACATGGATAACCCTGGGAAGGAGAAATAGAGTAGAGTTACATGAGTAAACTAGGGATAAGGAGGGCAATGGAGGGTGGGGGGTAGGGGATGAGAATATGAGGGAACTAGATGATTGAGCTGGAGCAGGGACTGAGTTGGGGAGCAGTGAGGGAGATACCATGATAGAGGAAGATGTTATGGGGATGAGGAGAGGCTGGGTGCAAGAATCCACAAGGATGACCCTACTTTAGACTACTAGTAATAGTGGAGAGGGTACCTGAACTTGCTTACCCCAGTAATCAGATCAGTGAGTACCTTAACTGTCATCATAGAGCCTTAATCCAGTAAATGATGGAAACAGATACAGAGATCCACAGCCAAGTACCAGGCCAATCTCCAGGAGTCCAGTCAAAGAGAGAGAAGAGGGATTCTATGAGCAAGTGCATCAGGATCATGATGGGGAAACCTACAGGGAAGACTAAACCAAACTAGTGGGAACTCATGAAAGTTGGATCAATGGCTGTGCAACCCGCGTGGGACTGGACTAGGCCCTCTGCATGACGAGACAATTGTGTAGCTTGATCTGCTTGGGGGGCCCCCCAGCAATAGGATCAGAATCTATCCCTAGTGCATGAGCAGGCTTTTTGGAGCCCACTACCTATGATGTGATACCTCATACAGCCTTGAGGCAGGGGGAAGGGCTTGGACTTGCCTCTACTGGATGTGCCTCCCCATGGGAGGCCTTGCCTTCTTGTGGTGGGGAGTGGAAGTGTGTTGGGAAGGGGAGGCTGGTATGTGGGAAAAAGAAATAGGGTTATCTTTGATTGGTATGTGAAATGAATGAAAAAAATTCTTAATAAAAAAAGATAATATCTGTAGACAGATTCTTCATAGTTAGAAACTTCACAGAAAAGCCAATTGACATTAGTGTATTTATTCTATCTAAAATTATTACAGTGTGTTGTGGGATATTTGTACACTGTGTGAAAATGCATTGTTGTGATTGCTGTAGTAAAAAGCTGTGTGGCCAATAGCCAGGCAGGAAATATAGGCAGGACTTCTGGTCAAAGAGAAGAGGAGATAATCAAGGCACGTAAGAGACACCATCAAGATGCAGAACAAATTGGACACAAAAAAATGGATGAAAGGTAAAAACCACATGGTAGAATGTAAATGAATAAAAATATAGGTTGATTTAAGTTATAATAACTAGTGGGAAAAGCTTAAACAATGGCCAAGC